AAAGCCATGGAGGTATTTCAGTTCTACTGGCAAGTTCATCCAGTCTTGTTTCCTTTCCAGTATATCGTTATGTTTTCTTCTTTTTGGCATCATGAAACCACACCTTCATGTAAATTTCCTCTAGTTCAGTCCTTTCTCGAGTTCCACTGGATAATAAGGTTGGCCTGAAATGGAGTTGAGAGTGGCTAATTGTACTTTTCAGAGCCTAGTCAGGAAGGAGCTCTTGGCCACTTGTTCCTCTCAACCACCTTTGAGGGTCTTGCAGTGATTACCTCCATGAAGGCTTAGATCTGGATGGACTGGTTCCAAATTAAACTCTTTGTTTAAAACACCTAGCAAAGTCATTTTATCCTCTATGCACGTGGGAGAAGAATAAAGTGCCATGATTTTTTTCCTCTCACAAGAAAACATCTCAATACATGCAATACATGTATTTAAAAAAATACAGTTATTTTTTTACTAAGCAAAATATGTTCAATCCCATGTTGGATGTAGAGATGACTTAAAAAAAAAATCTTCAGGGCCTGGCTGGCTCAGTTGGTAGAGCATGCGACTCCTCATCGCGGGGGAGGGGGGAGGGTTGTGATTTCAAGCCCCACGTTGGGTGTAGAGTTTACTTAAAAACAAAACCAAAGGGCGCCTGGGTGGCTCAGTTGGTTAAGCATCCAACTCTTGGTTTCAGGTCAGGTCATGATCTCAGGGTCATGAGATCAAGTCCCACATCGGCTCCATGCTCACTGCAGAGTCTGCTTGTCCCTTTCCCTCTGCTACTCCCTCCGCTCACACTCTGTCTCTAAAACAAAATCTTTAAATTTTTAAAAAAATTCCATTAGTTACCACTTTAAAGAAATGATTGGTTAATAATACAAATGGAATGACACAACAGCACAATAACACATGGAATACTGGGTATCCAGCATTTGACATGGGTTTGACAGCTTTTAATTTGTTATGGTAAAAACAAAAACAAAAACAAAAATTAACATCACTATTTTATAAAAGACATATTAACATTAAAAAAAGCACGAAGTACATAATCTCAAAATAAGGACAATCCTTTTCAAGAAAGGAGATTTGGCAGTCTTCCTGGGCATTGTCCTTATTTTCCTCCTTTTGGTGTAGATCAGTAAAAATGTTGTCATGAATTGTCATATATCTGTTGGCTAGATTTGGGAATCACTGTTTAGAATTTCAGAACAGAGACTTAAAAAACATTAAGTCTCAAATTTGAGACTTTTAATAAACAGTAATACCAGCTGATTTAGATGTGTTGGTTCTCCAAATTTTTCTCATCTCTTACTGTCTCTCCATCCCCAAATACAGAGTGCCTCCTGCTATGGTCCAGACTCCCATCAGCTTATCTGCTCTTGTTTTATCTTTTGTACTAGCCTCCTAACCACATTATCTTTTTTTTTTTTTTAAGATTTATTTATTTATTTGAGAGAGTGAGAGAGTGCATGCGTGTGCATGCAGAAGTCAGGGAAGGGGCAGAGGGAGAGAATCTTCACAGACTCCCCACTGAGCGCAGAGCTCAACATGGGGCGCAGTCTCACTACCCATGAGACCATGACTTGAGCCGAAATCAAGAGTCAGATGTACATTATCTTTTTCATCAGCACCACAGCAATCTTCTTTTTCTTTTTGAGAGAGAGAGAGAGCAAGCGAGGGAGCAGGGGTTAGGGGTGAGGGGAGGGGCAGAGAGAGAGGGAGAGAGAAAATCCTGAGCAGGCTCCTCACCGAGCATGGAGCCCAATGCAGGAGATCTCGTGACCTGAGATCATGATCTGAGCCAAAATCAAGAGTCAGATACTTAACCAACTAAGCCACCCAGGGACCCCACTACAGCGATCTTCTAAAGCAAGGATATTGTCATTCCCCTTCTTAAAAACTTTACTTCTGGGTGCCTGGGTGGCTCAGTCATTAGGCGTCTGCCTTCAGCTTAGGTCATGGTCCCAGGGTCCTTGGATCGAGCCCCGCATCGGGCTCCCTGCTCGGCGGGAAGCATGCTTCTCCCTCTCCCACACCCCCGCTTGTGTTCCTGCTCTCACTAACTCACTCTCTCTGTCAAATAAATAAATAAATAAAATCTTTAAAAAAAAAAACTTTACTTTTTATTGCTAACAATTAGCCCAAGTTAATATACAAATTTCTGCAGTCTAGCCACATACCTTTCCAACCACTTCCTATGAACTGTACACTTTATTTAATGGCTTACATAAGTTTATTGGTTTTATTTTTATTTTTTTAAAAAGGTTTTATTTATTTATTTGAGAGAGAGTGAGATGGAGAGAGCAAGCAGGAGCAGGGGGAAAGGCAGAGGGAGAGGGAGAAGCAGACTCCACGCTGAGCAGGGAGCCTGATGTGGGACTCAATCCCAGGACCTGAGGATCACAACATGAGCCAAAGGAAGACACTTAACTGATTGAGCCACCCAGGCACCCCTAGTTTATTTCTGTTTTAAAAGAAGTCTGGAGGAATAGTATCTAAAGGTAGCATGGTGGTGGCATGGTGTTTTCAGGGTCTTAGACTCTTTTCATCTTTTTGCTACACCATGCTAAATCAGCATGTTTTTCTGTAAGTCTTCTTCATGGTCCAAGATGGCTGGTAAGAGTTCCAAACACTTCTCAGGTAGCAGAAAGGAAAGGCAGAAGGGCAAAAGGGCACTCCTTACAGCCAAGCCACTTCTCTTTAAACAACCTTCCTAGCATCCCACAAAACAAGTCTGCTCATATCTCATTAGTTACATTTGACTATAAGGTAATGGAAAATGCAGTCTTTGAGATGAATGTATTGCTCTCCTGAATTAAGTTGGTATGATTTACTAGGAAAGAAGGGGAGAATGGATACTGGGGGGCATCTAGCTTTCTCTGCCACATATGTATATAGTTTTATAAAACTACATATTTGTAATCTTTTTATACTTACCATTTTATTGTGGGCATCTTCCATTTTCTCCCACATTAATTTAATGATCTCATAATGTTCCATTGCATGAATATACCATTATTTAAACAACCAATCCCCAACTGTGCATTTTGGAACAGTTGGGCTAGTTTTCATATTTGGCAATTGTAAACAATTCTATAATATAATTTTTATAGCTAAATCTTGTAGGTCATATACTTGAAGGAAATCCCTACAAAGAAAATCACTGAATGAATGAATCAACAGGTATATTTATTTTAAAGCTTCTAATTCATATTTCTAAAATGTCTTCTAATAAGATTTTCCCACTAGTCTTGCTGAAAAGTGCCACAAATTTCCTTTTTTTCCATTAAAAAATACCTAAGATACAAAAAAGTGTGAAGAATAACACAAAATATACATTGGTTAAATCTAATATTTGGTTAAACAGCCATTTTAAAAAATTATTGCTCAGATTTGACTGGCTTTCTCCAAAGTAAATCCTGCCCTTAAGGAATATGCATTTGACAATGATGGAGTTACTGGAAATAAGCATATAACCTCCTGAGGTACCTGAAAGTTGTAATTCTTAATAAATATTCTTAATTTTTTCATTAACTTTTAATTGAGGGAGAGTTGAATATAAAATATTAGTTTCAGGTGTACAACATAATCATTTGACAATTACATACATTACAAAAGGCTCACCACGTTAAGTGTAGTTACTATCTGCCACCAAAGTTATTACAGTATTATTGACTACATTCCCTATGCCATACTTCTCAACTTCATGACTAACTTATTCCATAATTGGCAGTCTTAATACCTCTTAATACCTTTTACTTTTTTGGCCAATCCCATTCCCTTGAGCAACCATCAGTTTGTCCTCTGTATTTATGTCTGTTTCTGTTTTGTTTGTTCATTTGTCTTGGTTTTTAGATTCCAAATTTAAGTGAAATCATATGGTATTTGTCTTTTCCTGTCTGGCTTATTTCACTTAGCATTATACCCTCTAGATCCATCCATGTTGTAGCAAATGGCAAGTTTCAGTCTTTTTATGGCTGAGTAATATTCCATTGCGTATATATACTACATCTTCTTTATCCATTCATCTATCTGTGGATACTTAGGTTGCTTCCATATCTTGGCTATTGTAAACAATGCTGTAGTAAACATAGGAGTGCATATATCTTTTCAAATTAATGTTTTTATTTTCTTCAGGTAAATAATGGTGGAATTACTGGGTCATATAGGATTTTGATTTTTTTTTTTAAGATTTATTTATTTATTTATTTATTTGACAGAGAGAGACACAGCGAGAGGGGGAACACAAGCAGGGGGAGTGGGAGAGGGAGAAGCAGGCTCCCTGCAGAGCAGGGAGCCCGATGCGGGACTCGATCCCAGGACTCTGGGATCATGACCTGAGCTGAAGGCAGTCGCTTAACCAACTGAGCCACCCAGGCGCCCCAGTATTTTGATTTTTTGAGGAACCTCTGTACTATTTTCCATAGTGGCTGCACCAATTTACATTCCCACCAACAGTGCACAAGGGTTCCCTTTTCTCCACCTCCTTGCCAACACTATTTTTTTTTTTTTAAGATTTTATTTGTCAGAGAGAGAGAGAGAGCACAAGCAGGGGGAGTGGCAGGCAAAGGGAGAGGGAGAAGCAGGCTCCCCGCCGAGCAGAGAGCCAGCTGCGGAACTCGATCCCAGGACCCTGGGATCATGACCTAAGCCGAAGGCAGACGCTTAACCGACTGAGCCACCCAGGCGTCCCAACACTAGTTATTTCTTGTCTTTTTGATACTAGCTATTCTGACTGGTTATTAGATTTTTTTAAACTTTTCTTATAGCTCTAGCTGTTGCATCTGAAAAGATAGCAAGCAGTATTTAATACTGCATAATACACCTAGGGAGAGTAGGTTTATGATTAGTGTTTATTCTTCCTGTTGTGAGAAATACTAGATATTAAGGCTTAGAGTAGTTCAGAAAGGTGTCAGCAAGACCATGGATTTTGAGCTGAAACTTGTATGACTGAGTTGCTCTAAGAACTGTTGATGTTGTACATAATTAATATTTGCTTTTTCCCCTCCCAGATTTGGCATTAGGGGAAAGAAGTTACATTTTTCATCTTCTTATGCTCATAAAGCATCTTCCATTGCCAAATCCCCTAGCTTGTATTCTATGGAAAGAGAAGAGGAAGACTATGTAATCTTCTCTGAAGGAATAATAGAGGAATACCTAGCATTTGACCACACTGATATGTGAGTATTATGTCTTTCAAGCTTTTCACTCCCCTCCTATTTTGTTTATTATATCAATATATTTTAGAACTATACTTTAGAAAAAGTATATTGATTTTCCTAAATCAATATACTTTAGAAAAAATAAAGTATACTGCCAATATTACCTTATAATTAGATTTATGTCACTTGGTTATTTATTTCCTATTACTTCTCAGGTATCCAGAGTTCATATGCTTAATTGATACAAATTCCTATTGCTTTCACGTACCAGACTTCCTTCTGCACTGAGTGTGGAGCCCTACATGGGTCTTAGTCCCACAACCCTGAGATTATGACCTCATCTGAAACTGAGTTGGATGCTGAACAGACTGAGCCACCCAGGCGCCCCAAGAAAATGGATTTTATTATTATTATTTTAAAGATTTTATTTATTTATTTGAGAGAATGAGATAGAGAGTGTGCACAAGAGAGCACGAGCGGGGAGGAGGGGCAGAGGGAGAGGCAAGAGGCAGGCTCCTCATTGAGCAGAGAGCCTGATGAGGGACTCGATCCCAGGACCCTGGGATCATGACCTGAGCCAAAGGCAGACGCTTAACTGACTGAGCCACCCAGGTGCCCCAAGAAAATGGATTTTAAATAAAGGAAGTAAAATTCAATCTCATTCACAATTAGCAATGCAAATTAAAATTATAATGAGATACTATTTTATCTGTCAGACTGGCAGAGAAAAAAAAAGAAGTTTGATAATTCCTTGAATGGGACAAAAAGGCATATATTTTCCAACACTGGAGATTTTTCCTCTTTAGAGGAAAGTGGGCAGTATCTTTCCAGTTGGAAGCATATACCCTTTTACTCAATAATTCTGTTTATAGGAATTTATCCTACAGATATAATAGCCATGTAGCCAAAGAACTACGTACAAGGATATTAAAGCAGTACTGACTATAAAAACAAAAGGCTGGTTGGTCAGTAACTGGCCAGTTAGATATGCTATGGTATATCCAATGGAATACTTTGCAGCTATTTTTTAAGAGGCATATTGATCTGTATTAATATGGATCAAGGGCCAGTTACATTGTTAAGTAAAAGACCAAGGTGTAGCACAGTGTATAATGTAACTATTTCTCTGGACCAAAGTATAATGTTGGCTTCTGGGAATGGTAACTGCGGGATAGAGATATAAACTTATTTTTCACTACATACATACATTTCCTTCTGTATAATTTGAATTTTTTTCATCATATGAAAGTGTTATCTCCTATAAAAAGAAACATAAATTTAAATACAATTAATACTAATCAGCCTTCTCCCCCACTTAATGCCAGGCCAGCTCTTCTTGGGGAAAGGAGAAGAGGAGAAAGACTTTAGTTGCCCTGTATAAACATCTGAGCATCCTTCTTTCCTGCTTATAGCTTCCCATTTAATTCTTGAGACCTCTGCTACCCTAGGGATAATTTTCAGTGTAGAGGCCTTAAAATATTTCTTCGTACCTCAAGTGTTCCAGAATTTGCTTTGTCTTACTTATAATACATTCATCATAGTAAGTACGTCTGTCAGTTAGAGTTTTGCCCACCAAATACTGGGGCTATTGGTACTCCCTGACAGAGAAGAGAAGACTTGGCTAGCTGAGAGTTTCTGGCCTACAGACAGATACATGGTCTCCAGAAGAGCCTCAGAGTAGCTTCTTATGCTGTTGGGCTTCCCTCCTTTCCCTTTCCAGCCAATTACCAAACGTTTATTTGGATTAGTAAAAGTATACTACTTTCCTAATGATTCATTGCCTCAGGTATTTATGCGGCACAGTTATATGCCCATTATTAGATGTTATGTTAATATTAACCTAAATGGTATCCAATTACAACAAAAAGATTATTTCTGTATGCTTGTCATAGCTTATTGTACAATTGACAATGTTTATCTGTTTAAAGCTAAAAAACATACAGGGAGTCTCAGTCTTCTTTTCTTGTTCTATTTTTTTTTTTTTTTGGCAGAGTAGTGGGGTGAGGTGGGAGTAAAAAGGGAAATTCAGTGTCCTCTGTTGAGAACTCCCTTAGGTCACAAGGCGGCTTAGCACATCTGCTAACATACATATGTTGAGCCAGTGGTGGGAAAGGGCACACAACTCACACTCCTTAAGAAGCACAAAGGACAGTGGTGAACACTCAGTAAAGAATAATCATGAAGTCTTATTTGCTTCTGTTACAGGGAAGAGGGGTTTCAAGGAAAGAAATTACAAGCGGCTCCAGAGAAACAGAAATTAGGGTACCCTCCCATTGCTCCATTTTACTGCATGAAAGAGGATGTCCTTGCTCATGTGTTTGACGACGTGTGGAGCAAGGTTCTGAGCTGTATGGAGCAGCTGACACGTAGTCACTGGGAGGGATTGGCTTCTGGTAAGGATCTTTGTGAAAACAGTATAAAAAAATAATTGTTTATGATTTCCAAAGCCTGCCTAACTAGCTTATCAGATTATATGCTTCATTAGTGTAAAAGATTCATATTTGTATTTCCCACAGACACTAACAGATATTGAGAAAGTTTTGAGAATGAGTGGATGAGTAACAAGGCCCATTCTATGATGACTAGACTGTGTTTTCTTTGAGTATAATTATTTGTGAGAAAAAACATGTGCAAGTGGCAAATACATTTTAAAAACTGCTTTACTTAAGAATAACTGATATACAATAAACCATTCATATTTAAAGTGTATAATTTGGTAAATTCACCTATGTATACAAACATGAAACCACAAATCAGTCAATATAATGAACATATCCATCACCCCCAAAAGTTCATGACCTTTGTAATCCTTCCCTTCTGCCCATGCCTGATCTACCATCTCCAAGTGACAACAAATGTGCTTTCTATCACTATAGTTTAGTTTTTGTTTTGTAGAGTTTCATATAAATGGAATCATGGTATTTATTTTGTCAGCTTCCTCATTCAGCATGATCATTTTGAGATTCATCCATGTAATTGTGTGTCAGCAATTTATTCCTAGCAAGTATTCCATTGTTTCATAATTTGTTTATCCATTTACCTTTTCATGGACATTTGGATTGTTTTCAGTTTGGCACATGTAAAGCTGGTCTGCACGTTACTGTATTAAAAGCTTTTTGGGGCACCTGGGTGGCTCAGTCGGTTAAGCGTCTGCCTTCGCTGGGATCGAGCCCCACATCGGGCTCCCTGCTCAGTGGGAAAGCCTGCTTCTCCCTCCCCCACTCCCCCTGCTTGTGTTCCCTCTCTCGCTGTGTCTCTCTCTGTCAAATAAATAAAATCTAAAAAAAAAATTTTTTAAAGAGTTTTTTGAACATACATTTCCTTTTCTCTTAGGTAAATTTCTAGGAGTGGATTGTCTGATTATATGGTTAAATGTATTCTTAGCTTTTTAAGAATTGTTTTGGTTTTCTGTGTTACACAAAAAAATGTATCACAAACTTAACAGTTTCAAACAACACACATTTATTATCTTACAGATTTTGGGTCAGAAGTCCCAAGAATGGCTTAGCTAGTCCTCTACTTAGGATCTCACAAAGTTGCAATCAAGGTGTTGGCCACAGCTAGGTTCTCATGTAGAGGTTCAACTAGGAAAGGATCTACTTCCCCTTTTGTGTGTTCTTAGAAGCATCTAGTTTCTTGTAGCTGTAGGAGTCACAGCAGCTTTCCTCTTCAAAGCCAGCAAGAAAGACTGAGAGCTAGTCAGCTAGCAAAACAGAAGCTTATATAACATAACACATTCATGGGAGTGACATCTCATCATTTTTACCATCATCTTTTGGTCTGAAGCAAGTCACACTCAAAGGGAGCAGATTCCACAAAGGTGTGAGCACTACTAGAGGTAAGAATCACAGAGGGGCCACCTTAGAGTTTATCCATTACAATCCTTCCACTGGCCCTCAGTGACTCATGTGCTCCCGCATGCAAAATATATTCAATTCCCAAGGCTTCCAAGAAACCCATCTTATTATAGCATTGGCTCTGAAGTCCAAAATATTATCATCTAAATCAGGCCCTGGATGTAATACATTAAGTTACTGGGGCACAATTCCTTTCCATCTATAGACCTGTGAAACTAAAGGCTACATACACAGGTATATAAACATCTAACTATATAATCCAGCAATTCCACTCCTAGAGAAAAGTTACCTTACCCCAACACACCCAACATACAATAGTGGGCCAGGGAAAGGATCACAGACATTCCAGATAAGGGGTGTATGTGCAGAAAAGGAAGGTAGGAAAAGGTTCACAGCAATTCTGAAGTCCAGTTGGGAAAATACTGGGAGTTCCAATCCTAGAAATAATCCTCTCAGCTCTCTGGTCCAACCTCTGGGCTCTTGGTTTTTGTTGTTGTTTGTTTTAAGATTTTACCTATTTATTTGAGAGAGAGAGCGTGCACGTGAGAGAGCATGAGAGCGGGGTGAGGGCAGAGGGAGAAGGAGACTCCCCACCAAGCAGGGAGCCTGACGTGTGACTCGATCCCAGGACTCCAGGATCATGACCCAAGCCAAAGGCAGACATTTAACTGACTGAGCCACTCAGGCACCCTGGGCTCTTGGTTTTACCCTCTAAGTCATCCTTCCTTTTTCATAAAATGTAGCACATGTGGGCAGCTAAGTAATTTTATCAGAATGCCTCTTGCCAGTAGAATTTTGAGGGTCCGACAGCCTTCTTTCATTAAACTCTTTTGTCATCTAGAGATACAGAATTTTCAAAATCATCAAGTATTGATTTCTTTTTATTTATTTTTTTAAGATTTTATTTATTTGTGAGAGAGAGAATGAGAGACAGAGAGCGTGAGAGGGAGGAGGGTCAGAGGGAGAAGCAGACTCCCTGCTGAGCAGGGAGCCCAATGCGGGACTCGATCCCGGGACTCCAGGATCATGACCTGAGCCGAAGGCAGTCGCTTAACCAACTGAGCCACCCAGGTGCCCCATCAAGTATTGATTTCTTTATATTTAATAATTTTTTCTTCACTTTCTCTTCCTCTCGTGTTTTATTATAAGTAGCAAGAAAAAAAATCACACTTTGGAAATCTCCTTAGCTACATAACCAGAATCATCACTTAAAAGTCCTGCTTTCCACTTGACCACAGAAGACCATTTCACTAAGCTTTCTTCCACTAGATAACAAGCACCTCCTTTCTTCCAGTTTCTAATAACATGCTCCTTATTTCCTTCTAAACCCTCCCCTACAGCATCCTCCAAATCCAGATTTCTACAAAGTCTGTTCAAGATAATTTTTGCTTTCTGTATCATACTTCTCAAAATTCTTCTAGCCTCTATCAATGAACCATCGAAAATGAAGTTAAGGGAACAATTCATTTATAATAGCATCAAAAAGAATAAAATACTTAGGATTAAACTTAACCAAGAAACTGTAAGACTTTACACTGAAAACTACAAAACATTATTGTAAGAAAATAGAGAAGACCTAAAGAATTGAAAGTCATCCTATGTTTATGGATTGGAAGACTTAATATTGTTAAGATGGCAATACTCCCCAAATAGATTTACAGGTTGAGTGAATTCCAAAATAATACTAAAAAAGAACAAAATATGAGACTTCACACTTCCTGATTTTAAAACTTGATACAAAGCTACATTAACTAAAACAGTGTGGTACCAGCATAAGTGATATATATATAGATCAATAGGATCAAGAGTCCAGAAATAAACCCACACATCTATGGCCAATTGATTTTCAACAAGGGTGCCAAGACCACCGGATGGGAGAAGAATAGTCCCTTCAGCAAATGGTGCTTAAACAACTGGATAGCCACATGGAAAAGACTGAATTCGGAATCTTATTTCACAACACATATAAAATATCAACTCAAAATGGATCACAAACATACATTTAAGAACTAAAACTATAAAACTCTTAGAGGAAAGCATAGGAGTAAATCTTAATGAGCTTGGATTTGGCAGTGGATTCTTAGATATGACACCAAGACCATAAACAAAAACAGAAAAATCAGTAAGCTGGATTTTATCAAAATTAAAAAAAACTTTTTGTATCAAAGGATATTATAAAAAAAGTGAAAAGACAACCTACAGAATTAGAGAATATAAGTGCAAATCATACACCTGATAAGAATCTAGCATCCACGATATATAAAGTACAATTAAACAACAAAGGGACAAACAACCCAATTTAAAAATGGGCAAACAACTTGAATAGATATTTCTCCAAAGATTACACATGGCCAATAAGCATATGAAAAGATGTTCAACATCATATTCTTTTGGGAAATATAAACCAAAACCAAAATCACAATGAAATACCACTTCATACCCACTAGAATGGCTATGAAAAAAAAAAAAAAAAGACAATAAGTATTGGTAAGGGTGTGGAGAAATTGGAACGTCATACATTGCTGGTGGGAAGGCAAAGTGGCGCAGCCATTGTGTAAAGTTTGGTAGTTCCTCAGAAAGTTAAACATAAAATTACCCTATGACCCAGCAATTCCATTCAAAGGTATATAACCAAGAGAACTGAAACCATATCCACACAAAAGCCTGTGCATGAATGTTCACAACAGCATTATTTGTAATGGTCAAAAAGTAGAATCAGGGGCGCCTGGCTGGCTCTGTTGGTGGAGCATGTGACCCTTGATCTCAATGTTGTGAGTTCAAGCCCCACACTGGGTATAGAGATTACTTAAAAATAAAATATTAAAAAAAAAGTAGAAACCAAAATGTCCGTCAACTCTGAATGGAGAAACATGATTTGGTATATCCAACTGTTATGGACTGAATAGTGTCCTCCTCAGAATTTATATGTTGAACCCTTAATCTCCAAAGTGACTGTTTGGAAATGGGACCTTTAGGGAGGTTAAATGAAGTCCTAAGGGTGGGGCCCTAATCCTATAGAGTTGGTATCCTTATAAAAAGAGGAAGAGACATCAGAGCTCCCTGTCTGTGTATGCACAAAAAAGAGGTCACGCAAGGACACAGCTGCCTACAAGCCATATAGCACCCTGATCTTGGACTTCTAGCCTCCAGGACTGTAAGAAAATAAATTTCTGTTATTTAAGCCATCCAGTCTGTGGTATTTTGTTATAGCAGGTTAAGTAACTAATATACCATGCAATGTAATATTATTTGTTCATAAAATAAAGTAATCCTGCATGTTTCAGCATGGATGAACCTTGAAAATATTATGCTAAGTGAAAGAAGCCAGACACAAAGAGTCATATATTGTATGATTTCATTCGGATGAAATGTCCAGAACAGTCACATCCATAGAGAAAGAAGGTAGTTTAGTGGTTGCCAAGGGATAGAGGAAGAAGGGAATTGAGAGGTATGTGGTATCTCTTTGGAGTGATAGATATTTTCTGAAATTAGATAGTGGTGCTTGTTGCACAACATTGTGAATATACTAAAAACCA